GCACTTGCCCTTGTTGAAACTCATTCCATCAGCAAGAGGGGGAGGGGGTGTCTGGGGACAGCAGAGGGGACCCCCAAGGTGTGTGTGTGGGGGGTCTGTGTGTGGTTTTCCCCCCCGTCCCATTACCTTCCCTGCCGGTGTGGGGACGGGGGGCAGGATCTCGGTGCCGGGGTTGGTGAAGCTGCTCTCCTTCATGGAGACACGTCCCTCCAGCTCCACGTCACACAGGTGGGTCTTCCTGTAGGCGGCCACCAGGCGACCTGGGGGGGGACCAGAGGTTTCTGAGTGGGGCAGAGATCGGGGGGACACCCTCAGGGGTTGTGGGGGGACACCCTCAGGCAGGGGGTGTCTCACCTGTGGGGTCCAGCAGCGCGTGGCAGTTGTAGATGCGCTGGGTGGTGGGCCAGTCCTGGCCACGCTCGTGGAAACCACCAAGGGAGAGCCACACGCCGCAGTCCCTGGGGAGGGAAGGGGACAGGGTGTCACCTCGGCTTGATTTTTGGGGGGGAACGACCCCCCTCTATCCCCCTGTCCCCCCCCTCCTGGGGGGTACCTGGCCAGCTGCGAGTAGCGTCCCATGAGGTCCCCGTCCAGCCCCTCGGCCAGGCTGAGGGTCTGCGCCGCGTTGCGCCCGATGTAGTCGAAACCCTCGGGGAGGAAGACGACGGCGGCGCCGCGTCCGGCCGCCTCCCGCACCAGCCCCGCACAGGCCGCGAAGTTCCCCTCCTTGTCCGGGGTGGAGGTGACCTGCACCACGGCCACCAGCGGCTTCAGCCCCGCCATGGCCCGGGGTGATGAACTGTGGAGGGAAGGGAGGGAGGGGGGAGAAGGGATGTCAGCCCCCAGGGACACCCCATTGTGTCCCCCCCTTTTGTCCCCTCACCCCCCGGTACCTGCCCACGGTGCAGGAGCCGTGAGGGCGTCTCGGGGAGCGGAGGCAGCGAAGCAGGGAGCGGGGCACCGCGCTCAGCCTGGGGGGCACCGGGGTGGGGAGGTGCCCAGTGCGACCGCCCCCCCAAAACTTCCC